CTAATATCTGCACGATCAATATATCTAATGATATGATGTGTGATACAAGCAGCTCTCAATATAGTCATATTGATGGAAATATTGATATTACTCTCATTATATCAAAGAAATAGGACTAATTAGCAGGAAGCAGACGAAAAAGCTAAAAGGATAACAATAAGAATAATTGATTCATGAATACAATGGGAATACTACTTGTGTGTTCAATACATATTACCCTCCCATTTCTCTCTTTTAAACACACACACAAAAGACATTTTATTTTTTAGAAGAATAATAGCACCGGGTTCATTGTACCTGCATTGCATGGCTCGGTCTTCTTCAGGATGTAAACCCGACTTGATACAAATAAAGTGTGAAAATGGTGGTAAGATATATCACACCCGTTGTATTCTCCCCACCCACAAATCACATCGGTGAATAATGGGTGGTGCAAACTTGTCTACGAAAATTTACTACAAAGTAGCAAGGGTCAGCTTACTCAACTACGAAAGCGTCACCGCATGTCATCGAAAATTTTATACATGCTAGCAATAAAGAGTCAGTAGAATTTATTGCAGGCTAGCTCCTCTATCTCCTATAACATCACTATGTTACGATTGGCTGATACGCTTTACACAGCAGTCCGTCCAACAACAAAAAAATTGCCTGGGCCTAATATTAAACTGTAGTACTACGGTTGGGGTTTATAAGTGGTCTGGCATTTTGTTAACAAGAAAATAATCTCATGAGCTGCTAATATTTATATGTGGATTGAAGATAACAAAGAAGAGGGAAAGCATCCGATAGTCAATATGATTTTTTACTACTTTGGTACATGTTTTCTCTTTCTATTGGTTATAATTTATATTAACCTGTAATCGTGTAACTGTTATACAACGGAAGGGACAGCCAATAAGAAACAGTCATTAGATAACAAAAACCAACTTTCTTGTAAAGTAAATCAAAAGAGAATGAAGCAAAGTAAAGAAGTAAAGAAGTAAAGAAAGACTTGACTTTGATCAGTTGTAGTAACAACTCTAAAGACAGAGTACAAGCTTCAATAACGGCAATTTTCAGGTTACTCTAAGCTGGTCTGTGCACTTCTTGTTCCAGCAGAAGAAAATTTTCATTTTATTTTTTCGGGGGTTTAATCAACACAATATAAATAAAATAAAGTAAAATAGAATAGAATAAAATAGAATAAAATAACATATTCAAGACGAGCGTATTAAACATATAATGAAGCCCTTTTACAACAGTAAAGTACAGACCTCTTGGTACTTGGACTTGGTGTTGATACAAATGTACAAGAGCTTACCACAGTGTAGAAGCGTTAAATATACATGAACCGGTTGGTTGTTCTTTTTGTGTGGGTGGTAATCCTCAGAGGGCGTGCGGTACCTGTATTAACGATAATGTGAAAATATACAGGTTGCTTGGTAGTTGTTTGGGGGGAGACAATTCTTATCTACCAATACCTATGTGTGTCAAATTGATAAAGGCGTATAGACAGATATATTGGTAGCTTAGAGTGTGATGTCAGCGCGACTACCATCAAGAAAAAAACATATATATACCTCAGTTATTCCCACCTCCCCTGTTTTTCTTTCCTTCGCACTTTGTTTATCCATCATTACTCTCAATGAATTCCAAAGTTTATAACGCTCTCTGCGCAGCCTTCGCGCTCGCATACCTACTTGCCCCAGCTCTCATATTCATCCCTGTGATGCTATGGGAAGCTTCTCCTTTGCCCTCTGCTTTTTGCATGGCCAAACCTGCAAGACGAAGACGCCCCTCCATGGCGGGAGTGGGTGCAACCCCATTTGTTGACGCGAGATTAGACGGCGAGAATCAAGTCGAAGCTCACAAAAATGTGATGCCTCAGACATTCCTTGGCATTTTGTCAAACTGGTTAGGCTCTTTGTGGTCGGCTGGTTCACGAACAACGGGAGAACCCTCAGGTAGCTTGTTGAGTGAGCGCCACGGAGGTATCCCAGGGCATATGTCTGTCGATGATTCCTCTTCGGAGGCGGAAGACGTTGTTTCTGTAGGAAAGTCGAGCGTGTTTGTTGGAGCAGGGCTTCGGGAATATGTCCCTCACCTCCTTCCTTTGCACAAGTTGGGATGTGGCATCGCTACAATGGTGTCCCCAGTTAATGACGTAGCTGGTACCTGTGGGGAAACCCATGCAGACCTCGACGAGGGTGTGTCGAGTGAGCTTGTAGATGTATGCGATGAAGCTGAGATCAGCGTACGACTCAGATTCATCTGTGACAGATTTTTCTCAGAGGGTTTTGCACATCCAAGACTCTCTGCAAGATTTCTTGACGCGTTGTTGGAAGAGGAGCTCAACGACTCCGAAAACAAAGCCCATCGCGACTCATTGACTGAAGTCGCTGAACCAGAGTGCGGCTTGGTTCCCGAGTCAGCTGAAGAGACTCTTGTCTTAGAACAAGAGTCCGTTCAGACCCCATCGGGTTTGGATAATGCTGGCTTAAAGGATCCAAAGCCAAAGTCTGGTACAGTGGAGGGTCTCAATGAGGCGTTCGCTTTATCTTCTTGGCAGTCAGTGAATGGTTTCTTTGGTGAATGTCTCTCCACAGGACTTCCCACACCAATGGAGATTGACGACGACCTGGCTTGGAGTGAAGTCGTGGAAGTTGAAAACTCCATGGAGATTGATGATGATGTTGTCGAGGTGGCGGTGCCCGATGCTGTTTGTGGCGAAAAGCTCGTGGCCCACACCTGCAATCCGATGGATGAAGATTTGCAGTACGTCTCCCAGTCTGTAAAGAAGGATTGCGATACGAACAAGATCCCAGCCTGTGTCCCGCAACAGGTTGTAGACGACAAGGTGGAGCACGACGTGATGCGATTGGATGCGCCTATCGCTGTTACTGCGCTGAAGCCTCAGAGTCGCGGTACCAAAAAGTCAGGTGAACAGAAAAAGGGCGGAGAGTCACTTCCTGCGTCTGTGTCTGGTCTGCTCGCCGACGGGGCAAAGAAGGTTGGAGAGTGCACTCCTGCGGTCTTAGGACCAAAGGACCATTCAAAGACAGCCAAGCCTGTCAGTCAAAGTGGAAAGAAGGCCAAGGAACCCAAGGTTGCGGCAAAGACCGAGTTGGCCTCTGGCTCTCGCGAGCAGCAACCAGAGGAGACCAAGGCTGCGCCCAAGGTCTCTATGCCTGGAATTCTAAGAGCGCTGGCTTCCCGCGCTGCCAAGGAACAGGCAAAGGATTCCAAGGGCAAGGCCAAGGAATCCAAGGTTGCAACAAAGACCGAGTTGACCTCTGGCTCTCGTGAGAAGCAGCCAGATAATTCCAAAGCCGAGACCAAGGCTCCAATGGCTGTGACATTGAAAGCGCTGGCTTCCGGCGCTTATATGGAGCAGCCAAAGGACCCCAAGGTCGAGTCTTCCACTAGCGTCGGGAGACCTAAACGTTCTCTTGTCAAGGGCAAGAAATCGGCGAAGTCATTCGATGCGCCAACAAACAACGGTTTGTCGGCCGCCGAATTCCAGGCAAAGGGTTTCTAAGATGCCAAAGATTCGGTGCCAGTGAAGCCTACTCCTCGTGCTACATCCAGTAGCAAGAAGAGAAAGCCTAATTGTGCTTAGCTTTTGGGTTCCATCGGTTGACTTTGGACCTAATTGTGAACGAATGTTGGTTAAGAAACAAAAATTTGCTTTGGCTTGGTTCCTAAAGCCTGGTGCTGCATCCAGCAGTAAAAAGGTGGTGGAAACAAGAATATGGCTTCCAGGAAATCCCCAGACAGATAACTCAAGAATGACAATGGCTGTAGTCACCCCCTTTGACTCGTAAGCTTTTCTGCGTTGGTGCCGCTGACTCAGGGAAGGGTTGGGTAGGCAAAGAGGAACAAGCAAAGTACGCCACAGCGTAATTCAAGTCATGAACCGGCTCAAAAGTCTGCACATTAAGATGCAATTTGTACGCTTCACCAAGCGGACATCTTGTCGGTCGGTTGGCCCTGGAGCCAAGCCGATGCGGTCGGAACCAAAGGTCGATCCTGAAGCTTCTGGTAAGTTTTATGGTGACACTGGAATTCCCAGACCTTTCACAGTACTTTTCCTTGGAACTATCTGCGTGGTGATTCACGTTGGGTCTTTTGGTTAAGCTGTAAGGGTAGCCTCTTTTACGTTCGGTTCCTACTGCTTTCAGATTCAAAGGACTGGATTATCGTTTCCCTCTGGGATCGACACCATGCTCCGCCTGTTAGCTTGGTTCTGAGTCTTGGCTTGGCATAGACAGTATAAAGAGAAGGTAGATTGTGGAGGTCTACATATGAGTGTAACCTGTGGTGGTACTAGACTGGTTTTCAATCCTGTTTGCCTCTGGTATTTGCTGTTTGTATACATTCGAGGGTGGTGCTTGCACTACTGTAGGGTTGGCTTGAACCTTTTGTTCGTAGGGTTCTTGTTGACTTCCTCTCAGGTCTGAGGCCGAGATCTGTGAGTGGTGGTTTCTGTACGAGTAGGGCTTCCGGAGTCCTTGATTCTGGGTTGTTTTTGGGCCACGGTGGTCCTGTTGGCTGGTCTGGTCTGGTTGACTAGATTTCTGGTATCGTTCTGGTATCGTTCTGATCTCATTCTGGAAATCGCGGTTGGCTGGGTCTCTGGCCTGTTCTGTACCTGGGTTCAAGGCCTTTGTAGCTTGAGTTTTGTGCTTAAGCCAGGGAGAATGAATACTGTGGGGCACGGTGTTCATTATGTAGTCATGTCTGGCCGAATGGGTTTTGCTTCCTTGCCGGACTCTTTCTTGAAGTCCTTGGAAGGCTATCTTCAGTCTCCCCCCCTTTTTTTGGTGAGTTTTCGAAGATTCACTGGTAGGCTCGGACAAGTCTTTTTGGACTTTGAGTTTGCTACACCATAGATTGTGGAAAATCTATTGCTGGGGGGTAGACAATCCCAAGAGGTTTCGGGAAAACGAGCCAAAAACACCTAGTTTCTACACAAGATTGGCGAGGTTTTCCCTCACAGACATGACGGTATATCAGTCATTATGATTGCTACCAGTCCTTGTGTCCGGACTCAAACGATGCGTACACATGCATGTCCAGACATCCGCAGCTATTTTGAGATGGCAAAACCAAAGTTCATCTGCACAAAAGGATATGCTTCAATGACTGATCAATTGGGTATCAGTGACTTTATCAGTTGAATCAACATAAACTGACTATACAAAAAAAAAGTCATTGAAGAGATAGCGTGGAATTCGCCGATGATTTCAAGCATCACGCAAAACCTGTGGTTAGAGTCCTAGCCACCCTCATTTGAGGAGGACTCTGATTAATATGGTCTGGTAAATGAACCAGACCAAGCAGGGTGAGCTAGAAATTGTCACAAAAAAGCAGGTTACAGTTAGCAACTGGAAATGCGTATACTCAAGAAAACAAGACCCGAGTCGAAGGGCATTTACGCAAACTTTCAGCTGTGAAGGAGAAGCAAGGTTACTTTCGATGAACCTATCCAAACCAAGTCGAGACAACTGCATACAAGCCATGTATATATATATATACTTTTACGGAAAATTGGGTCCAATATCAAAGCAAATTTGAACATAAACATGAACATGAACATGAAAAAATGATATCAAGCATTCAAGTATCCAAGTATTCAAGAATATAAACCTTCAAGCACAACAAACCTAAGATCAAGTAAGCTGACCCAGAGTCTCGCCATCTCGCTGGGTTGGTCAAAAAGCACACGAAGAGTCTCGACTAGGATACGGTTACAACAAGAATAAATTCCTCATCATCATTCGAGACTATTGGCTCAGGACTGCAAAAAAGGTATTTGAGATGACCGGATTTATATTATGGGCCGAGAACACCAGCAAGGAACAAGTAGAGGCCGCCAGTAGTAAACAACAGAGCTCAAGGCAGAAACAATGTGAACCACAAAGCAAGCGATAAGGCAATTTTTCAAGGGTTGCTTCTGTCTCTGGACTTTTTCGTCAGAGACAATATCAACCATTGGTCCGTCCATCCAGAAGATAAGTACTATTTATACACAACATGTCTCGGTACTAATTATATGATATTTTGCTCTTCTTCTTCTCAAGGTCGCCCTGTGACAGGGCTCACAATACTACAACCCTTTAGAGGATACCAGAGAGAGTTTGGGAGCGTTAGACTTTACCAAAAGGCAAAGCTGCTCGGTACGCTAGTCGTACCTTTTCTCCCCTCGAAATATTGTACATTGCATTGTATGCCTGTATATATTTAGGGTTCTTGGCGTGGTAAGCCAAGATCTGGTAGCTCCTCTGCCATTTGGTGGCCAAACCCTTTTGTGGTTGACCCCATCGCTGCAAGTTGGCACATTGTTTCTGCTGGAAGTTTGGTTGTTTACTGTTGGTGGTCTTGTATACCCCCTGCTGGTGGTCAAGGTCCATTCCGCCCGGTCATCGAAGAACATTTTGCAGTCCCGGGCCCGTCTCTTCAGATGATGTTACCTATTCCAAGCCAAGTTCCTTTCCTTACGAAACAAATTCTCTCAATTAAGGTATGTTATTTCAGTCATTCAAACCTGCCCTATATTTAAATATATTTCTCGTTTTCTCACTAATTTTCTTCTTTATCTTTTTAAGCCATATTCGGCCTTATCAGCTCCAATAATGCGGCAAATTCAGAAGCCTGAATCTTGTGCAAGAATGACAGCAGCAAGAACCAAGTCAAGCAAGAAGAATACAAAAAGATACAAAAAAAATACAAAAAAAAGATACAAAAAAAAAATTCAAAAAAAAAGCAAAAAAGAAGCAAAAAAAAATATATTCACAATTATCTCTATCTCAAGTGGAAACTCATAGACTAGCAGAATCCCTGAAATGGTCAAGCCACGGTTTGCTTTTATGTCCAAGTCCAATTCCGAGTCTTGTCCAAGTCAAAGTCCAAATGTCCAAAACTATCCAAGTGTTGGTATAGTACTAGTCCTAGCACACAGATATATACAAACAAGTAGAGAAGTACACAATTAGAGAAGTAGAAAAATACATACACACATACACACACACAAGCACACACAATTTCTATTCTTTATTTTTCTTTCTTATACACACACACACACAGACATACAAATAGTCATAGTCATATACATACACACATACATATACACACTCATATACATACATATACACATACATATATACATACAAAAGTAGAGGCGCATTTCTATCCAAGTCCAAAGTCTGGGTCGTACCTCCAAGTCTCAAAACCAAGTCGATTTCCAAGAAAGGGTCCAATGCAAAGTTCCAAAAGCAAGTTCCAAAAGAAAAATCAAAAACCAAAACCGAGGCCTATACTAAGTCCTGTAAAAAAAAACAGGCATATACTAAGTCCTCCTCTCCAAAAGGATCAAAAGAAATCCGAACCCGAGGCCTATACTAAGTCCTGTGCAAAAAAAAGGCAGGCATATACTAAGTCCTTCTCTCCAAAAGGATTAAAAGAAATCCGAACTCGAGGCATATACTAAGTCCTCCACTCCAAAAGGATCAAAAGAAATCCGAAACTAAGGCATATACTAAGTCCTTATCTCAAACAAAAAGGATCAAATCCAAAAACCGAGGCGTAGACCAAAACCTATCAGAAATGATCAGGTACATATCAAGTCCTCCACTCAAACAAAAAAGGATCAAAAGAAATCCGAACCCGAGGCCTATAATAAGTCCTGTAAAAAAACAGGCATATACTAAGTCCTCCTCTAAAAAAAAACAAAAAATAACAAAAAAAAAAAAACAAAAAAAGAACAAAAAAAAACAAAAAAAAAGATGAACAAACCGGAAGAACTCTGCATTGGAACCTGGACCTGGACTGAAGCAAGGCTGCGAACTGAAACAAGACTCTGGATTAGGACAAGGTATGAAATCCCCTTATATACATGCAAAGCAAATGAAGTCTTTGAACAAAAACAAAAGAAATGCTCAAAAAAAAAGCTCAAAAAAAACAAAAAGAGCAAAAAGAGCAATACCAAAAACCCCTCCTCTTATTCTTTTCAATATCAAAACCTATTCTCATTACTATTCTGTGAAATTGACTGGACAAAAAAAATCAAAAAAAAAAATTCAAAATCAAAAAGTCCGAATTATCCCCTTTACTGTGTGCTGTGTTCGGACAAAAAAAAAGCAAAAAAAAAGCAAGAAAAAAAAAGTTCAAATCATCCTTTTATTCTTTTCAATACCAAAACTATTCCATTATTACTATTCCGTGAAATTGACTGGACAAAAAAAAAGGCTCAAAAAATCAACTGGACAAAAAAAATCAACTGGACTTGACTGGAATCGACTGGACTGGACTGAAGTAGCATGAACTTGACCATCTTATACTATATTACATTTACTTTATATTTATTTTATAAAAATCTTTGAATAATAAAATTTCCCTCATATGTCTTTGATGTAGAATACACTATCTAAATAGCCATGGACCCAAATTGAGAATATTTGTTAAATATTTTGCTCCATATTAACACATCTACTGTGAAATCAGATGCTGGGCCAAATATGTGTATTTGTATTATACAATTCCCATACTTTTTTATCCTCGATGCACAAAGTCTTAGAGTTCTTCTCTGATATAAACCGCTACACCTTTATTTTTCTCTTTTAAGACTCGTTACAAACCTCTCGCTTCTCTTGAGCTTTCTAACTCTACAAAATATCGTCAGAACTTCAGTACAATCATACTGCACTTCTTTATTAAACTCAAACCAATTCCAAAAAGAAATATTACAGACGAGTGCGGTGGTACCTAACACACACACTTTTTTTTTGAAAGAACGTCAATCGTCACTTGAACTACTTTAACGGAGTTGAGTTTCACGAGTTCCTTTTCGGTGAAGAGGACCAAAGTAAATGGAGTCTTCCATCTACTTTACGCATCTCTTGCATCCTTTCATCGCTGACGTGTGCCCCTTCAAAAAAAATTAAGGGGAAAGAGGTGTGACTATTTTCATATGCAGGTGACTACTAGAGCTAAAGACGATGAAAAAAAAAGCAAAAAGTAAACAAAAAAGGACGCAAAAAACAGAAAAAGACGAGCGACAACGATGCGAAACCTTATTTACCATCAGAAACTACAATTCTGCTCATGCGAATAGCTCATTAGCTTATATATAACTCTCATCATGTCTTTGCAGAAATGAGTTTGTCAGAACATTGCGCATTAAAGATCAATTCCCTAGTTTTCTCATTCAGCCTGACGTCCAATGTTGATTTGCGCATCCTTTTAACAGCCACTCATGATAGAAAGCAAGAGTTTTTAGGGTAAAAACCAGAATGCACACGCGTTTAAAAATTGTTAAAGTCTTGAAAGTACTTGGTATATATATGTACAGTCGATATCTGATTGATTTCTTAGAAATATAAAAGAGTTTTGACTATTACAAGAATAATATCTTAATTCTTATATATGGTACTAAAAAGTGTGTATACTTTTTAATATTGAACAATACAAGATACAGAAAAACACAAGAGAAAGGTCTTTTGAAAGGTCTTTTAAAAAGGGTTGCTTTTATTTTATATGATTTAGTAAAGGCTTTTAGAAGAAAATCACGCTGTCAACATATCTATTTTACACGCTTGATAGCCATTTTCTTTCTTGAGCCTCGATCTCTCCAAGCTGTTTGAACGTCGGGGTTTATTATATTTTGCAGGAAAGCACTTTGGTTTAGGTTACCGTATGGAAATTATTCGCAGACCTTCAAAGCACAAAGATCCAAGAGAACACATATACACACTGAATGGATCTAATATTTCTGTAATAACATTCACAGATCTTCAGAATATAATTATTTAAAAGCATTTTAAAAATAAAAAGGGTTTGTGTATGCGATGGTCCGAATAAACAGGTCTATTTTTTATGAGCTTCGAGATTGTATTGTGTGTTCATTGAAGGTTATAATAGTGTTCGGATCGCTCAAAGGTTAGTTAAATTGGTTTATATGATATAAATGCACATTGAATATTATTGAATTTACCGGTGAAATGAAAAGTGTAATAAAAAAAAGGGCATTTTGATCAAAATGGCAAATCAAATCTTGAAATTCAGCTATAACTCTATATCGGTTAAGTCAAGCTACTTTTTATATATAAGCAACCTGGTGGAGTACATTATGATCCATCATTCAGATGTTGTTTGACATTGATTGCATAAATACCAGACAAAATATCTCATTTTTTCACTCTAAAAAAAACAATTTACTAATAAGATTTTGAATATTTACACCATATAAGCATATTTGATCCAAACGTTCTCTCAGGGTATTCACCTAAAAAAATCGGATATTTTTGTTTTTTTTTGCTACCAAGTAAAATTGTTGAGCAAATTGATCCATGATCTCTAGTGTTTATTTGACTAGCAACAGACCAATATTCGTGGAGATATCAAGAAATGTAAAAATGGCAATTTCGATATTTACACCATGAGACGATGTTTATTAAATCCTCGATAGTAAAGGTAGCTCACAAATCCTGAAAGTAATTTTGTTGAACAAAATTGCCCCATTAATTTGGCAGAACAAATGGACATTTAAGTATAGGGAATTACGTCAAGAGGTCCAAACGAATATAAAATTATTCCTTTAATTCTTTTGATTCAATTTTACTTTAGAAATAGAAACTAAATGTCTTCCACCTAAAGTGTTTTCCCAAAAAACCAATAAGTTGTTGGCCGTTATTGAGTGGCCTTATATGACTTTATACAAATAAAATAAATAAATAAGCCAGCACAGTGCACGAGACTATTAAAAAAGAAGGAAACATATATATCATATTGATTCAATTAATTATGTACAAGAACATAAAACCAAGGGCTTGAGTATGGCTTGGTCTCTTGTGGTTTCTGTTCTTTTTCTCTAAAAAAAAAGGTATAATTTTATTCAATTTTACAAGCAAAGGATGATCTTTTGATTGATAGAGAAAGAGACTGCTAATGAAGAGAGTGTCTACAAGCTTCTTATAAATTCGTATTATATATATATTCAAATCATACTCTCGTGTTATCTTTACAGAATTAATACCAAAACCAAGGAGTCAAAGGAGAGGGGGTTAAATGGACATACACATACATTTCATATTGTAAAAAATAAGGGTAATTTATATAAAGTAGCTTTGGATTTGTAAAGCTTACATAAATTCAATGCTCAGCTATACAGACTGATGCAAACAATTGAGAACAATAGACATGTTTTAAGAGGTATTCAATAAGATAAATGTATTTATTGGTAGTTGAAACAAAAAGAACCACTGCAAAAGTGTTTGTGGCTCTTTTTTTTATTGTATTTTATTTTAAGAGTTTTTCTCTAGAGAGCTTTATATGTTGCGATAGTCTTTTTTTATAAGGATGTATGTACAAGGAAAATGGAATGCTTTTGTTTGATGAACTTGACTATTATACAATTTTTTGTGTTTTACAGGGTGTATATACAGGGTGTTGAAATCAAGATCGATTTAAGATGAGCGATAGGCAGCTGGACTAATGCGGACTGTGACTGAAGGATGATCAAAGATAAGTGAATCCAGGGCCATAGATTTTTCAGATACTGGGCAAGATTTTGAAAAGTGCTCGTCATCAGAAAGGTCAGAAAGATAGGAGTCATTAGAGATCGTCGATGAAGATGAGATCAAAGAAGGTGCGGCTGTAGTTTGGACTTTTTTGCAGCTAAAAGCTTTCTTGACTGAAGCGAGCCCTTTGATACATTGTCCCATTGATGATGTAAATGTGGAGACACGGCTAGCTGTGTTGGTAGTTGAGGATTGGCGGCGCTGGCACTTTGAGATGATACGCTTTTGGATAGAGAGGATCTGCATTGTAGAGTGTGGGTTATGAGGTGTAAAGGTAAAGAAAGGCTTGGTAGGTAAGATGTGGTTGAGAGAATATGTAATAAAAAGGAAAGAAGTGCAAAAATGTCAAACCTTTATATACTATTTCAAAAGGCCCGTGCTCTTTGGGTATCAGTGGAGATTTACATGCTTCTTCTTCACTTTATTGCCATTTTTAGGACAAAGACAAGGGGCCATCGTATCTGATGTTTGGCATCTATCGGAAAATACAGCCAAAAATCCTGATCCACAAAACCACAGCCAAAAATAATAATCAATGATCCATGATCTGTAATCCATAATTTCCCCCTATCGAGAATCGAAAATCAAAGACACACTTGTCTCCTGTATTAATTGATTCACGTCACCTTAATTATTCTCTATGAAGATCTTGATTTATAGGTTCCGAGTCTTTGGTATCTGCCAAGCTTACTACTTTATATGTAAATTAAATATTAATATAAAAATATCTATTACCAGGCCGGCATGCACAATACAACCGTTTTTCTCTCTCTAACTTTGAGTTGTCGTATCAAAGCTGTTACAATTACATAAAAAGAGTTCTTTATTTAATTTGAAGCTTTTTTTCTGTCTATTTGGACATATTCAATAGCGCACATTATATAAAAGAAGCAAAGTAAAATAGAGTCGTTCTTGTAGGGCATGTAATTAAGAACTAGAGCATAAACAGAATAATATAAATATAAATATAAATATTTTCAATCGAGACTGTATACCAATACCACTTGTACTGCAAATGCTTTAGACTATCATCTGATAAGAATTAATATTCCTAAACTCTCTCAAAGAATATTACTAATGATACAGTAATATATCATTCGGTCTTCCATATATCATTAGTAGTCTGCTTTCTATTCACAAGCCTTACAATTATATATTTTCACTCGGTAGCCAAATATTACCCAGGAATAAGAGCTTTTAGAAACAAACAAACCAAAACAAAATACGGTAATTTCCATTTATTCATTTATATTATATTGTCTCGATTTTATGAAATCATTGTTATACTCCATTATAACAAATATTAACTTTAGGTTGCAAGCATAGGCATATATTGTCATAAGTCAAAAGTAGTCTCTTTTTTTCTTTTTATAAGGAATAAGAGACGATGTTTCCCTCTCACTGTCACTCTTTGAGAGCCAGCTATTTAACAAATAATTGTTGAACACTTTGTGTGTGTCTAATTCACTGATTTATTGCCCTTGTATAAGTATCACACAGACCAGCTTGGAATAAAAGTACATAATTGCTATCGGGTTTTTTGACAATTTTTTTTTTTTGAAAGAACGTCAATCGTCACTTGAACTACTTTAACGGAGTTGAGTTTCACGAGTTTCTTTTCGGTGAAGAGGACCAAAGTAAATGGAGTCTTCCATCTACTTTACGCATCTCTTGCATCCTTTCATCGCTGACGTGTGCCCCTTCAAAAAAAATTAAGGGGAAAGATGTGTGACTCTTTTCATATGCATGTGACTACTAGAGCTAAAGACGATGAAAAAAAAAGCAAAAAGTAAACAAAAAAGGACGCAAAAAACAGAAAAAGACGAGCGACAACGATGCGAAACCTTATTTACCATCAGAAACTACAATTCTGCTCATGCGAATAGCTCATTAGCTTATATATAACTCTCATCATGTCTTTGCAGAAATGAGTTTGTCAGAACATTGCGCATTAAAGATCAATTCCCTAGTTTTCTCATTCAGCCTGACGTCCGATGTTGATTCGCGCATCCTTTTAACAGCCACTCATGATAGAAAGCAAGAGTTTTTAGGGTAAAAAACAAAAGGCACACGCGTTTAGAAATTGTTAAAGTCTTGAAAGTACTTGGTATATATATGTACAGTCGATATCTGATTGATTTCTTAGAAATATAAAAGAGTTTTGACTATTACAAGAATAATATCTTAATTCTTATATATGGTACTAAAAAGTGTGTATACTTTTTAATATTGAACAATACGATACAGAAAAATACAAGAGAAAGGCCTTTTAAAAAGACTTGCTTTTATTTTATAGGATTTAGTAAAGTCTTCTAGAAGGAAATCGCTCTGTCAACATATCTGTTTTACACGCTTGATGATTATTTTCTTTCTTGAGCCTCGATCTCTCCAAGCCGTTTGAATGTCGGGGTTTATTATATCTTGCAGGAAAAGAAGTTGGTCTAGGTTTTAGTATATAAATTGTCCTTTCGAAACAAGTTTCTCGGAACAATTGAGTCCATCGGACCCCGAACAGGATCAGAGAAGTGTTGTGATCATCTTATATTTTATTAAGCGAAAAGTAAGTTTGAAACATTTTTTCAAGAAATTAATATGAGTGCTATGATTCAAAGTATTGTACCTCGATCATCTTTTCGCTCGCAGGTCATTACCGCACAAAAAAGCTGTATCCCAAAAAATTTCTATTCTCTGTTTACACTCATATCTGCACAAGATCAAACTCAAACTCAAGCTCAAGATCTACATGTTCTCTTGGAACAAGCCGATGCACACAGAGCCCAAATACAAGCTCATTTGGACCTTTTGGCTAATCAACCATCTCCTATGGACACTCGGCCAGTCTCTGCCCCGGCTCCTATCCTTCTTCATGACCTCCCTGTACGGCAAACCTATGAATGGGTACCTTCTGAGAAGCTCATGAGCCTCTTGCCGTCACTGCAACATACTCTTTTTTCTCAAACTTTCACTGAGGACGAGAAACGCAGCCTTCTCGACCAGTATCCTCCGATATCAGGGGTAAAGTACTCCCCTCCTGTCACTTTACCGCAGGCTACCAAGGTCTTTCACAAAGGTAAGCACCGGAAAGATGCCTCCCTCAGTCAACTCCAGTATGCAGTTTCTGGGGTACTGCGACCTTTAGACGTTCTCGGACACGCTCTTCTTCAAATACTCCCCGATGACCAATAACAACGCATCTTCGCCATCTTAGAAGATTTCCGAGCAATGATATTACATGTTGAAGGTACAATCAACGACCAAATCAACGAACTAGCCTTTTGAGCTGTCAACCCTGCGTTTTCGGTGGCACCTCCTGCTTCCAATTACACCATGCAACCAGACGCTTTCAGGAAAGCGATTGTTCATCAAACATCGGCTCAAAAAGCGCTCCGCGATGCACGCCCTGCTTCACGTTTACGTTTTAACCGGCAATCGGGTGGTCCTTCCAATGGCCAACAGTTTTTTTTTTCGAGCCGCCCCACCACAAAACGCTGGTGGACATCCCGCATCAATTTCCAATCAGACCTTCCAACCTCGCCAGAACCACCAATCCCGTCCACCCCACTTCCGGAAGTATCATGGCAAACAGGACGACCTTCCGGAACCCTTATATACATCCATCATGGAACTTGATCTTGAAGTGCCTACGCAAGATTCAGACTGAGAAAATTACAGCAACAATAGTAGCCCCCTTTTGGCCGAGCTCGATATGGTTTCTGTTACTTCAGTCCATGGCCAAAGCCCCACCTCTCCTGCTAACAACCAAGACAATTGAGACCATGTCACCGCTCACTCCATATCCATTGGCCAACACGAGGTGGAAGCTCTCCTTTTGGCGAGTCTCAAACGTACATTAGAAGACACTCTCCTTTCCGACGATGCACGTAAACTTTTTTTAGACTCACTCACGGACGAACGTCCCACTAACCGCATCTACGCCAGAGGACAGCATCTCTTCATATTTTGGGCTATCGCAAACGAGGTCTCCCTTTTGCACTTTACCGCCACTGATATGGTTAACTTTTTTACCTCTCCCGAGATTTCCGTCTACAATGTCAATACCTTCCAAACCTTCCGATCGGCTATTCGTCGACTCCATCGCGATCCTGATTCTTTGTCTTCTGACTCACGCCTTGTCGATTTGTTCAAATTGCTTAAACGTTATGTGCCTCCGGTAGCTATGTCTCGACCTTTGATCGATCTCTCATCCACCTTTCTGTTTTTGGCCTCTATCCCATCGCATCCTTCTACATCTCTTTTTCCTTTATCCCGCAAAACCGCCTTTCTTCTCGCTATGGCCGCATTTCTTCGCCCGTCGGATCTTCATCGGGTAATTCTCAGTAAACGTTGTATCAATGGTCAACGTCGCCTCCACCTGGTCATTGAAGCTCCAAAGGAGACACGCGAGGGCCGCCGTATCATAAAATCGCCTATCATTCATCCACACGGCTCCAATCAGGCTCTTTGTCCGGTTTTAGCATTTTTCGTGCTCAGAGATCACCCTGCCGCACACTCACGCCCAGATGACACTGTTTGTTTGTTCCGAAAAACCGTCCCTCCCGGTTAGCGTCAACACCATTTATTCCTGGATAAGCACGCTCACTCAAATGTCTACCTCGCTCAAATGTTGTCCGTCCTTGCACTCCATTGCCTCTGACCTTGCCATTCAGAGCGGGGCCCCTTTGGATGACGTAGTAGCCATGGGAAATTGGTCTAGCTCCTCTGTCTTCGATACTCATTACCGTCGTTCTCGTGCCATTCGAACCAATATCACGGAATCCGTACTCCCGTCTGAACTCGCCACTAACCTTTCCTCTAACTCGGAATTTGCGCGTTCAATTTAATTACATGTCATCATAGATTTAGAAACTTTCGAACACTTCTTTATTTATCATTTCTTTTGTTTTACTTTGACTTTTTGCACTTCTCCGAAGCAGCACTTCTCTGATCCTGTTCGGGGTCCGATGGACTCTGTGGTATACATACCACAATTGAGTGAAGAACAGACCCCACAACCAAACACTCGTTCCTTCTTGCTAATGAACCTGGCAAGTTAACAATCTCCGGAACTGTTACACACCAGGCACACGTACACTGCACACTCATACAGTGTAAACCAACCATTACACAACAGGGATTTGAATTACAGGGATTTTAATAGTAGCAGATATAAACAATATTATTTTGTCTCTTTAATAAATAACACTCACAGTATCTACTTTTCCCATTATTGAGATACTAACCCATAAACAATCCTGAATACCTCAGACTCACTTAATTGTTCCGAGAAACTTGTTTCGAAAGGACAATTTATATACTAAAACCTAGACCAACTTCTTTTCCTGCAAGATATAATAAACCCCGACATTCAAACGGCTTGGAGAGATCGAGGCTCAAGAAAGAAAATAATCATCAAGCGTGTAAAACAGATATGTTGACAGAGCGATTTCCTTCTAGAAGACTTTACTAAATCCTATAAAATAAAAGCAAGTCTTTTTAAAAGGCCTTTCTCTTGTATTTTTCTGTATCGTATTGTTCAATATTAAAAAGTATACACACTTTTTAGTACCATATATAAGAATTAAGATATTATTCTTGTAATAGTCAAAACTCTTTTATATTTCTAAGAAATCAATCAGATATCGACTGTACATATATATACCAAGTACTTTCAAGACTTTAACAATTTCTAAACGCGTGTGCCTTTTGTTTTTTACCCTAAAAACTCTTGCTTTCTATCATGAGTGGCTGTTAAAAGGATGCGCGAATCAACATCGGACGTCAGGCTGAATGAGAAAACTAGGGAATTGATCTTTAATGCGCAATGTTCTGACAAACTCATTTCTGCAAAGACATGATGAGAGTTATATATAAGCTAATGAGCTATTCGCATGAGCAGAATTGTAGTTTCTGATGGTAAATAAGGTTTCGCATCGTTGTCGCTCGTCTTTTTCTGTTTTTTGCGTCCTTTTTTGTTTACTTTTTGCTTTTTTTTTCATCGTCTTTAGCTCTAGTAGTCACCTGCATATGAAAATAGTCACACCTCTTTCCCCTTAATTTTTTTTGAAGGGGCACACGTCAGCGATGAAAGGATGCAAGAGATGCGTAAAGTAGATGGAAGACTCCATTTACTTTGGTCCTCTTCACCGAAAAGAAACTCGTGAAACTCAACTCCGTTAAAGTAGTTCAAGTGACGATTGACGTTCTTTCAAAAAAAAAAATTGTCAAAAAACCCGATAGCAATTATGTACTTTTATTCCAAGCTGGTCTGTGTGATACTTATACAAGGGCAATAAATCAGTGAATTAGACACACACAAAGTGTTCAACAATTATTTGTTAAATAGCTGGCTCTCAAAGAGTGACAGTGAGAGGGAAACATCGTCTCTTATTCCTTATAAAAAGAAAAAAAGAGACTACTTTTGACTTATGACAATATATGCCTATGCTTGCAACCTAAAGTTAATATTTGTTATAATGGAGTATAACAATGATTTCATAAAATCGAGACAATATAATATAAATGAATAAATGGAAATTACCGTATTTTGTTTTGGTTTGTTTGTTTCTAAAAGCTCTTATTCCTGGGTAATATTTGGCTACCGAGTGAAAATATATAATTGTAAGGCTTGTGAATAGAAAGCAGACTACTAATGATATATGGAAGACCGAATGATATATTACTGTATCATTAGTAATATTCTTTGAGAGAGTTTAGGAATATTAATTCTTATCAGATGATAGTCTAAAGCATTTGCAGTACAAGTGGTATTGGTATACAGTCTCGATTGAAAATATTTATATTTATATTTATATTATTCTGTTTATGCTCTAGTTCTTAATTACATGCCCTACAAGAACGACTCTATTTTACTTTGCTTCTTTTATATAATGTGCGCTATTGAATATGTCCAAATAGACAGAAAAAAAGCTTCAAATTAAATAAAGAACTCTTTTTATGTAATTGTAACAGCTTTGATACGACAACTCAAAGTTAGAGAGAGAAAAACGGTTGTATTGTGCATGCCGGCCTGGTAATAGATATTTTTATATTAATATTTAATTTACATATAAAGTAGTAAGCTTGGCAGATACCAAAGACTCGGAACCTATAAATCAAGATCTTCATAGAGAATAATTAAGGTGACGTGAATCAATTAATACAGGAGACAAGTGTGTCTTTGATTTTCGATTCTCGATAGGGGGAAATTATGGATTACAGATCATGGATCATTGATTATTATTTTTGGCTGTGGTTTTGTGGATCAGGATTTTTGGCTGTATTTTCCGATAGATGCCAAACATCAGATACGATGGCCCCTTGTCTTTGTCCTAAAAATGGCAATAAAGTGAAGAAGAAGCATGTAAATCTCCACTGATACCCAAAGAGCACGGGCCTTTTGAAATAGTATATAAAGGTTTGACATTTTTGCACTTCTTTCCTTTTTATTACATATTCTCTCAACCACATCTTACCTACCAAGCCTTTCTTTACCTTTACACCTCATAACCCACACTCTACAATGCAGATCCTCTCTATCCAAAAGCGTATCATCTCAAAGTGCCAGCGCCGCCAATCCTCAACTACCAACACAGCTAGCCGTGTCTCCACATTTACATCATCAATGGGACAATGTATCAAAGGGCTCGCTTCAGTCAAGAAAGCTTTTAGCTGCAAAAAAGTCCAAACTACAGCCGCACCTTCTTTGATCTCATCTTCATCGACGATCTCTAATGACTCCTATCTTTCTGACCTTTCTGATGACGAGCACTTTTCAAAATCTTGCCCAGTATCTGAAAAATCTATGGCCCTGGATTCACTTATCTTTGATCATCCTTCAGTCACAGTCCGCATTAGTCCAGCTGCCTATCGCTCATCTTAAATCGATCTTGATTTCAACACCCTGTATATACACCCTGTAAAACACAAAAAATTGTATAATAGTCAAGTTCATCAAACAAAAGCATTCCATTTTCCTTGTACATACATCCTTATAAAAAAAGACTATCGCAACATATAAAGCTCTCTAGAGAAAAACTCTTAAAATAAAATACAATAAAAAAAAGAGCCACAAACACTTTTGCAGTGGTTCTTTTTGTTTCAACTACCAATAAATACATTTATCTTATTGAATACCTCTTAAAACATGTCTATTGTTCTCAATTGTTTGCATCAGTCTGTATAGCTGAGCATTGAATTTATGTAAGCTTTACAAATCCAAAGCTACTTTATATAAATTACCCTTATTTTTTACAATATGAAATGTATGTGTATGTCCATTTAACCCCCTCTCCTTTGACTCCTTGGTTTTGGTATTAATTCTGTAAAGATAACACGAGAGTATGATTTGAATATATATATAATACGAATTTATAAGAAGCTTGTAGACACTCTCTTCATTAGCAGTCTCTTTCTCTATCAATCAAAAGATCATCCTTTGCTTGTAAAATTGAATAAAATTATACCTTTTTTTTTAGAGAAAAAGAACAGAAACCACAAGAGACCAAGCCATACTCAAGCCCTTGGTTTTATGTTCTTGTACATAATTAATTGAATCAATATGATATATATGTTTCCTTCTTTTTTAATAGTCTCGTGCACTGTGCTGGCTTATTTATTTATTTTATTTGTATAAAGTCATATAAGGCCACTCAATAACGGCCAACAACTTATTGGTTTTTTGGGAAAACACTTTAGGTGGAAGACATTTAGTTTCTATTTCTAAAGTAAAATTGAATCAAAAGAATTAAAGGAATAATTTTATATTCGTTTGGACCTCTTGACGTAATTCCCTATACTTAAATGTCCATTTGTTCTGCCAAATTAATGGGGCAATTTTGTTCAACAAAATTACTTTCAGGATTTGTGAGCTACCTTTACTATCGAGGATTTAATAAATGTTGTGGGGAGAAAATAAAGCAAAATATAATATAGACGAAAGAATTCGTGAGAACTTGTGTAGGTTGTTTATTTCAAAAGAAAAGTAAAGAAATATAAAATTCGATTGTCTTTCTACACGGAACTATCTACTGATATTTATATGTTTTTCTAATTTGTAATTCAATGTGTGCTTAAGTAATCTTTATCACGATGAGTCATCTTCCAGGAGTATTGTTCTTCTGGAAAGATCCGGAAAGACCAATTGATATGATACTTCTCCAGTCAGATCAGTCCAAGAGTTTTGGTAAAGAAGAGCATTTATGCTATTGGTAATATTTTAGTATTCCGACCCAGATACTCGGGTAATGTTTCATAATATTAGATAGTTGTAGTTGTAGTCTCTCAATTAAGTATTTGTATAATAAAAGAAATATGTAGATGAAATATAATGATGCCATATATATAATGTATATGTATTTGTATATCCCATGTCATGGTGATAATAATAAATAATCAATTATGTGTATGATGATCTGTGTATTAGATAATATCATAAAGGGAGATCCGTTTGACTGGAATAGCTAAGGATATTATTTTATCCTTCAGTCTTACTCTCAGATTCAGCAGTAATCAATACTCATTCACAACATTATCCTCCACCAGATTCAACAATACCTTTTGTTGATTCGGCAATAAAACATTTCATTTACTATTTCATTGTCTGGCCAATTGCTTATTTTATTATAGTCAATCATGCACATAATTTTTGTACTTTATGGAGATCTACACTGTAAACTCAGCTTTGTGGATTACGTGTTCATTTTTTGTTATTTTAATTTTTTGTTGCTCTTCTTTTGTGTAATCTTTCTTCTCTACTCAAAGTGGTAGGAAGTGTTCTTTTCTTGTGCTCATCGTTATTGTTACTTTTACCATTTAGTCTTGAAGTGTGAACTATTTTCTTTTTTGAGGATGCACTTTTGTTAATCAAGTCTTCAGCTCTCTCATTCTCTAAACGTTCCAACTCTCTAACTTTCTTCCAATATTTTTGTACAATTGTGGAATCGGTAAAGTCTTCAGCCTTTTGCCATGTATTAGCGCGTTCGCCATAGCCAGCCCATTTGACCAAATATTCTCGTTGACCAGCAGTACCACGATGATCTCGAATGTCTTCAACTTC